AGTATCGGGAATTGATGGGGATCTGGCACACGGCTTGCAGTTAGTCAATGGCAGTCTGAAATTATTCATAAATGTTTTCGATAGTCCAGCGAGGACAATGTTGATGCTGAACATTCATCTTTCAAAGATGGTGTGGTGAAATAAATGTCTTCTGCTGGCACGTGGAGGTGAATTTGGAGGCTAGTGGGACAAAAAAGCACTCTGAACCTATGTGGCACTGCGTGTTTTCTTAATGACGAGATGCTGACCAGCATCCCCTGCCCTCCAGCAGCCCTGGGACTGCAGAGCCTCAAGTGCTGAGATGTCCCACCAGGCTGGCAGGAGGAGAGGTTTGCTTTGCTGTGCTCAGTGGCTGGTGGTGTAAGGTCTGGAGGAGCAGAAGGTTGGATGTAGTTAGATAAGTAGGTATGTTTCTTCTGGGGGTTTTGTTAAGCCTTTTTTAGGACGGGATGTGCTATTCCCAGCTGACAACCAACATGCGTGTGTTCTTGTGGGCTCGAATAATGACTAGACTTTAGGATGTCCTTTGTCTGTTTGGGGTGGGGTGGTCAAAGGTGTAGGTGTCACACAGCCTCAAAGCTATCTGCATCTGTGAAAAGAAACCAAGATTGGAGTCCAGGTCTCCTCCATGTAAAGCAGGAGCTTATTGGATCCCATAGATTATATATTTAACCAGTCTTGTCTCTCCGTTAGCCCCCAAGACCATTTGGTACCTGTTAGACTTCTGGCTCTCAGAAGAAGGTTATTGTACAATTTCACTCCCTAACATGATGTATCACATACACACACGCACAAGTAAAGCAAAGCTGTAGCTTGTCAAGCACAAATCTTAGCTTGATGTTTTCCAAATGGAGTATTTTAATTGTATTTATTTTTTAAGTTCAATTTTCTGTATATAGAATTGGTGGCTTAACACAAGCAAAAATATCCCTCATCAGACGTGCTGCTGGAACGCTTCGTTGGCGTCCGTCAGGCCCCAACAGCTGCTTTGCCCCACCACATCCATGTGCTGTTCCTCGTGCAGGACGGTGGGAAACCATCAGTCCTGCTGATGCCACGAGCCGGGCTGGAGCTGGGAGCTGTGGTGGGGCCACGGGGCCACGCAGCGCCGGGGCTGCCCCGTCCCCTCCACCGCCAGCGATTTGGCTTCTCCGCACCTTCCCGTGCCAGCGCGTCCCGCTGCGCTCGCGTGACGGACCCCGCAAGGGGAATCCAACGAGCTGCCTGTGAGCTCGTGCAATTCAAGAGCCAGCTCCACCCTGGGATAAATTTAAAGCACATTCATCGTTTTTCAAGTGGGAATAAAAACACAGCTCCTGTCTGCAGCGTTTTCTGTACCAGTGAAAAAAAAAGGAAATTTGAACTGCCTAACATTTTTAAATACATGCTAATTTTCCTTAGGCATATCTGATGCAACATTAAATCCCAGGGTTTTTGTTGGCTCCCTGGTTTGGTGGATCAGCTCCCCAGTCAGGTCCGTGAAGGATTGCAAGGGGATTTGAGCCTTGGGGCAGCAGGTCCCTGTGCAGCACCAGAGTCAGGCACAGGGACAGCGGAGCCTTGGGGTCGGGGGCAGCAGCTCTTCTGCTGCTGGGCTGGTTCCGAGGAGGCTTGGGGGGGACTGGGAGGGAGCTGGGAGCAGCACCAGTGTCATTTGTAGCTTCCAGAGGGATTGGTTGCACAGCCTGGGAGCGGAGCTTGTCCCGGAGCCTGACGCAGCACCCTGGTCTCTGCAAAACCCATGTGTTTGTATTTACAGGAAGATCTTCAGGGTGGTAGCACAGCTCTGACCTCTCCCCATGCAGATAAAACATCCCCCCGTTGTGATCTGATAAACTATTTTCAGTGAGTTTGGTACCAAGTGTGGTTCGAGGGCATTATCTGTACCCCTGAGGGCCAGACTGGGAGGTCTGCGGGGGGATTAAACCACCACCCGCACGTCCACGGGCAAAGAAATGACAGACATCAGCAGTTGTTGAATGATCTTTGAGCTTTTGAAGTGTCTGAGGCTTTTAATGCTTCAAAGAAACCAAAGGGTCTCCCCTAGAAGCAGCTGATGTAAACGATGGGCGAGCGATCGTGCCAAGAGATAACGCTGAGCCAACCCGGGGGTTTTTTGTTTAAATCCTTCTCCAGCCCCGCGCGGGGAGCAGCTCCTCTGCAGCTTCGTGAGATTTCTTTTAAAATATGCTCTGAAGACATCTAGATTCTGTATGTTTTTGTTTGTGGCGTGCCGGGTGACCTCAAAACACATTGAATTCAACTTGTGTGATCTGCAGCCCAAATTTTGCACCACATCGGCGTAAAGACGCGTGGAATGTCAAATACAATGTGTGGGTTGCAGTTGGAAGGTGTGCTCAGAGCTGCCCTCCCAGGTCCTGCTCTGACATCGTGTCCCGCAGAGGTAGCTCCATCCACGTCACTTAGCCCCGACTCGGAGGATTTATGTCCTAAAATGCGAAGTTGGCAGCTCAAACACGTGGTGTGACAAACCTCCCCCTGCGTGGGAATCACCTGCTGTCTTTGTGGCACCTTCTGAAAGTTTTTAATTAAGAAACTATTTCAGTGGTAAAGTGGGAATATCCAGCAACTGTCTCTGCCGGCACAAAGTGCTTCCATCACTTTTTAATTATTTTTTTTTTCATAGAATCATAGAATGGTTTGGGTTGGAAGGGACCTCAAGGATCATCTAGTTCCAACTATGGGCAGGGACACCTTCCACTACACCAGGTTGCCCAAAGCCTTATCCAGCCTGGCCTTGAACACTTCCAGGGATGGGGCAGCCACAGCTTCTCTGGGCAACCTGTGCCAGTGCCTCGCCACCCTCAGAGGGAAGAATTTCTTCCTTAGATCCCATCAAAATCTTCCCTCTTTCAGTTTAAAGCCATTGCCCCGTGTCCTGTCACTACATGCCTTGTAAAAACTCCCTCTCCAGCTTTTTTATAGATTTATGTGTATCATCTCCCAGTTCCAGGTCTGATGGGCAGAACACACCACAGGAGTTAATCTTTAACAGCATTTTTGTGCTGGATCCTGCATATTTGTTACTCTTTAGGTGTGCGTTCCCTCGATAGCTTGTGCCAAGTGGAAAAAATGGCAAAACCCTCTTTCTCCACCCAAAACGTTCCTAAAAAACATTCAGGGCTGGTTTGGGTTTAGTTGTACATTTTATTATAGTCTAATGCATAAAAAAGGGGGAAAAGCAACGCGCTCAGTATCCATGTTTTTCGGTGTTAGCGTTGCACCGGCACACGTGATCCATTGGGGAGGTATTTTTTTTACGTTGTTTGCAACGCCACTTTTCCTTGGGAAAAGCAAAAGTGTTTTAATTGCTATACAGGAAAATCTTATCATTAATCTGGTTTCATTTATGTCCTTTAGAAGAGTCGAAATAACTTGCTTAGATTGATTTAACACTTCTAAGCGCTCAGATATTTTTTTTTTTTGATGCTCGTTGGATTGAACAGGTGAGCAGAGAGGTTCTATATCGATATATTGAACAGACATCGGATAGTGTGTGCAGGGATGGCTCCCTGGAAACGTTCCCTCTGCCTGTGGCAGGGCCTTCAGTTATGGTGACTTTAAGCAAGAACTTTCATTTTTCCAGCTACGCTTTCCCTTGCTGTAGGCTACTTCTTCCTATAAAATTCTCGCAACTCCTTTGGTGGAAAATGCTACGAATGAGCCCGATGTTTTCAACAACAAACCTGTGGGCAATAAACACTTGTGTTTTTTTCACCTTTCGCACTGAAAAGATTCCTAAGGAAGATGAAACAGCAATTTCCAAACTATAGTTTTCCTGTTAGCGTTGATGTTTATGGTCTTTCCCTGTTTTTCTTCTATATAGTGCGCTTCGCACCTTACAGACCTCCCGACATCTCTCTGAAACCGCTGCTCTTCGAGGTGCCCAGCATCACCACCGAGTCCGTCTTCGTTGGCCGCGACTGGGTGTTCCACGAGATAGACGCGCAGCTGCAGAGCTCCAACGCCAGCGTCAACCGAGGCGTGGTGATCGTCGGGAACATCGGGTTCGGAAAAACCGCCATCATCTCCAGACTGGTCGCGCTCAGCTGCCATGGCACACGGATGAGACAGATCGCGTCTGATAGCCCACACGCCTCTCCGAAACGTGAGTACAGCAGTACACAGATCTTCAAAAATCAGAGACCTTTTCCGTCAGCTTTTGTAACGGTTTTGGCTGAAAAGATCCCGTTCTTCTTCAGGCCCAAGAAATCATAGAACCATAGAATGGTTTGGGTTGGAAGGGACCTTAAAGATCACACAGTTCCAGCCCCCCTGCCATGGACAGGGACACCCTCCACTACACCAGGTTGCCCAAAGCCTCATCCAACCTGGCCTTGAACACTTCCAGGGATGGGGCAGCCACAGCTTCTCTGGGCAACCTGTTCCAGTGCCTCAATGTAAAAAACTTCTTCCTTAGATCCCATCGAAATCTCCCCTCTGTCAGTTTAAAGCCATTGCCCCGTGTTCTGTCACTCCACACCCTTGTCCAAAGTCCCTCTCCAGCTTTCTCGTAGCCCCTTTAGGTACTGGAAGTTGCTGGAAGGTCTCCGCGGAGCCTTCGCTTCTCCAGGCTGAACAGCCCCAACTCTCTCAGCTTAGTCTTTGTTGCAAAGCAAAGGAAGCACCTGTCAGCAGTATTTATACTGCTCCTGTTCCAAATCTACTTTTTGAAGAGTCAAAGTAGTCTCTCTCTTAATTCTCCGAATTAAAAACATCACGTTTTTTTTCTGATTGAAAAGACTCCAATTTTAATTGCCAATATTCTATTATTACAACTCCATGCTGTGCATTCTCCTTCCCTTATGGTTTGTTTATCTCTGTTTATCACGGTGTAAATGTTTAGGTTGGGTCACAAGCCCGTGTAGGCTCCACAGCCGGGACTGCTCTGCCTCTTGTGGTCCCATCCAATTCCCATCACTCTGTGCTGACATGTGTGCAGGTGGGGATGACAACATTTAAAAATCATTCAGCTCACAGTGAGTGAATAAGACAGGACTGAAAATACTGGCTTAGGTACCTAAAGGTGTCTTTAAAGATCTAGGTCACTGTATCTCAGTGAAACTGTGGTTAAATCTGTTTGCTGGAATGCAGCACTCAGCCATGTCGAAATATCTGAAATGTCACCGACTGCTGGCATGTTGAATAGTGTCACTTGTCAGAGCTGAATGAACAATGCATAGTGAAAGGCAGGGCTTGTTTCTGTGTTTTAGCTGCAGCTCTGCAGTACACCAACTGTATGTCTCCCCAGTCTGCTTAGAGGGATTGTGGAGATGAAAGAGGCTGCTGTATTAACTGTTTGTGGACTCAAAGCCTGGCTGTTTCAAATAAGAAGGTGCCCTGTGTCTTTCATGCATGAAGGATGAAGATCCGTGGTCACCCCTAACGCGCCGTCGTTTAGTTCACACTCTGGTTTGTCCGTGAAGCTGGAGGCTGAACGAGTCCTCGGTGTCAGTTATTGGGATGGAGGCCTTCAGAATCAATCAACTAATTTGACTTTATCTCCTAAAGAGATCACAAGTCCTGGTCTAGCTATAGCAGATAATAATTACTCTCCAAGTTTCTTTGACTATTTTTTTCACATGCTGAAAAAAAAAATCTATTATGCTTGGTAAAATCTATGTTTATTAATAAATGCTAATCAGGTGAGCTGACTATACTACAGCAGTTGTGCTGTCAGCATTGGTGAACTGGCATAAATACAGCCTCATACGCTTAATTCCTGTCTCAGAAAAATAATACAGGTAAAGGTGGTGTTGCATGCTCAAAATCAAGACTGTGCATCATTGCTAACGCAGTCAGAGTTGAATTCTGCAGGCAGTAGTCGTCTTCCTTTGTTGTTTGCCATTAAATGGGTCATTGTTTGCATTGTGATTTCAAGTCAAGCTCAAGGAAGCGTTGCAGCCGTCCATCCAGGAACATCCTTTGCTGGTACAGACTGCACTTGAGAGGACTGTTGCTTTTAAAACATTCCTAAAATCAAGACATCAGCAATTAGACATCATCAAGTACTGCGTGTCTTAGTGTCACTCAGAACTACTCTGTATGAGTGCCTAGGAGTGAAAATAAGAGTGGTTTGCAAATGTTATCCACACAGGCCAGGTGAACGGACTCTTATAGCAATCCACTGGGAAAGCAAATTTCTGCTTTGTCAGGCACAAGAAACAGCTAAAACACAATAGAAAGCAGATAAACTTGACAGAGATGATTCCAGAATAATTCCAGAATCATTCATTATTTGCTTGCAAGCCTTTTCCAGATCCTGGTGCTACTCCTGCTTCTCTCCCTCTGATTGCATTAACGGGCTTCAGATGGATGCGTTAGCTGTGGCTCTCCATTTATTTATGTTGTAAAATAGGCACATAATTCAGAAAAATTGGCTGTCTCCACCGAAGAAGGACTCGGAACCAAATTATCCAGCGATTCTTCATAACGAGGGAAGATCTATGATCTATGATCTTCTGTGATTCTATGATTCTATGATCTGTTGGCAGAACTGCAGAGTAGGAGAGCACTGTGCAAAACATACCAAACTGGAAGACAGAGCGTACCTTCAGGAGCGCACGATTCGCTCAATTATTGTGATTATTTTAAAGTCGACGGAATTAAAGTGGAGAAGATGAATATGACAAACTCAGTGCTTTATCTTAACGGTCCTTCCCAAAAGCGCTGCTTCCAAAAGAAGTTTCTTGGGGAGCCTCTAGCCTGGCTGGACGGTGTCACAGTCTGTTGCTGCCTGAAATCCTAAGCAGGGTATTTGTGGAAAGTATTTTAAGTGCCATGCGTGACCTGCTGGAAAACAGCAGCTGCCTCGTCTGTAATAATAATAATAATGTCAGTCGTGCTTGTCCTGTAGCAGTTCATAACCTCTTTCCTTGGGACAGATGTGGATGCAAACCGAGAGCTGCCCTTAACCCAGCCGCCCTCTGCGCACTCGTCCATCACCAGCGGGAGCTGCCCGGGGACTCCCGAAATGCGCCGGCGCCAGGAGGAGGCCATGCGGAGACTCGCGTCGCAGGTACGGAAACATTCGTCTCGGGATTTTTTTTTTTTTTTGATCCTTGGGAAAATGTCAGTTTTAATGGGACCTCTTGGAAGATTTCCTGCCTTACATCACTTGGTGTGCTGGAAAGCGTGTGCCTTCAGATCCTTACTGGGAGAGTCTAGAGAAAAACTTTTGGAACAAGTTTTATTACCCTAGGAAAGTTATTTCTGTAAAATGGAATTCCCATTACATCAAACACACTCCCCTTCTACTCTGAGAGTTTATCTTTCCCAGCCATCACCCTTTATCGTGACAAATGTTATGATATGATCTAGTTAGCAGAATAATTGTGATATTTCTTCAACAGTGGAAACAGAATTGTTTCGTTTTGAAAGGGGCAGGTGTCGTACGGTGGGTGCAGGGACAGACTGGAGCGTTGCTGCGGTGCGCGCGCGCTTCGGCATGGTTTGGCAAAGTGGGGAGAATGGATCACAGCCTTTTGGGAGGTACACAAGTGGTCTGCTGCTGTGGCGAGAGTGGATTGTGTATAATGCTCTCACTTATGGCAGGTGAGATTTACAGCTTGAATTTTACTGTATTACTGAGATTTAGCCCTACTTTTGAGGTGGTGGGAAGGTGCCAGTATATTGCTTTGAAATCCGAGGAGCTTGCTCCTCCTACACCTTTTGAGAGGATGTGAGCTATTAATGCTTCCCTGTTGCCTGCTCCCACTTTGGAGGGGAAAATATCAAGCAAAGTCTTTGTTCTAAATCATTACCAGGACATGTTTTGCTTGGCTTTTTGTGCCAGATACGGTCTTGTCTTGTCTGCTTTTCTGCTGCACTCGGATGACAAGGCAGAGAGCGTGTAATATCTACATAAATAAATATTAGGACTTGATATTCTCCTCTTCCACGTGGAGTTCTTGAAAGGAATGCAATGGGCCGGTCTGCTTTTTTTCAAGAGGCATTAGTCATCATATTCCTTGCAAATCTTAGGCATTACAGACTACCAGAAGGGCCTGTAAAGTGTGCTGTCTCTGCTTGAAATACCTCATCTGTCTTGACTTTCTTCCCCTGAGTGCTTAAGTAATCCTGCTGGATACGTAATTGATAAATGGATATGGTTTTAGCTTCAGTTCCCCCATGAAAAAGGTAAGGGATATGAGTCTTTCAAACAGTGTGTCACATCCAGTGCATGGATCATGCACTGAAGCTTTTTTTGCATCTCTGATCACTGGAGAAAAGAGCAAGAAACAATCTTTATAGCTAAAAAAAAACAGTAAAAATAGGTTGTTATCCCTGGCTGCAGACCCCTTCAGGAAAGAGTTTTAAAGCCCTGCACATCCCATAGCCAAATTTTTTTTTGCGAAACAAATCCTTTGTTTTACTGTCAGAACATAACAAATGAGTCAGGAAGATGTACTGCCTCTTGTGCTAGCAGCAGGATTACGGAGATTTAGTACGATTGTTAATCTCCCAATAAATCTCGACTCCTGTAAATGTGGGCAGATTCCACAAATAACCGTCACCGGCTTCCAAATGTTAAGCCTTCATGACAAGATCAATGCCAAGGCTGATGAGTTGACCTTAGAGTACTTGGAATCGCTTCTCCTACCCGAATAGCTGACACAGCATGAGAAACTTCGGAAAAGCTCCATAATGTTTAGCAAACAGTTCCTGGGATGAGTCAGAGCAGCAGCGGCACAGCTTGATTCAGCAGCCGGAGACCTTGGGTCTGTTCCCAGCTTCGCCGTTAGCCTTGTTGGGATCCTTGGAGACCAGCAGCTCATCTGCCTGCCTCCGTTTCCCTGCCTGTTAAAAGAAAAGGGATCAGTGCAGATAATGCTCCTTGGATGTCTCATGATGGAAGGCATACGTAACGAGGTGTTCATTTGGTTTTCTCGGTTCGGAACAGGAGTTGTCTTCCAGGCGGTGCTGCCGTGCGCGCCTGGATGAAGCCGTGCGTTGAAATGAGGCACGTGCTTCAATCCTGATTCAGAGCTTCATTTCTGACCACAAAGAGAATTTCTTCTGAAAGTGTAGGAGGGTTTTTTTTGTTCGATTGATTTTTTTTGTTTGT